TTACAAAGAGGTGCTAATTCCACAAATTTGACTAGCCGCTACGTATTGTGCGACTAGGTCTATTGTTTATAAATTATAATCCACGACTGGCAGGATGCGTGTCGGTCGGTACGTAATTATACCAACAATCAGACAATAGTCCTCGTCGGAAGCATTTCCGTGGTGGTCACTAATTTTGAGTGACGGTCGGGGCCGACCGGCGTGGCGAACAAAGCTTTTTCACATCTGATATTGGCATGTCAAATATGAAATCAAGCGCCGAGGTGGGAACACATAGCGCCGAGGTCCCAAGTGAAGCGCCGAGATTCACAGGTATAGCGCCGCGGACCTCGGCGCTAAAAAGCCCTGGGGAGAACCCTGCCCACATATTATTAGTCCCCGCTCGGATGCAGTCCGAAAACGGGGACTTATGTTTTGACCTCCGTGTGTGCGTGCGTCCGGACCTGTATCTTAGAAATTCCTGGACCAACCACAATCAAACTTCACACATACATCATACATGATATTATACATATGCACGTCAATTTTTTTCACGATCTGATTCAAGATGGCCGAGTGGCGGCCATTTTTGTGCTAAAAATCATCAATCAAGCATTTCTCGGCTGTTTATAGATGGATTCTTTTCAAACTTGGTATATACATTAGACATTATAGGACCTTGTTGTATAATAACTTAAGCAGTTCTTATATGGTTGTCTTCTTTTTCTCTTGCAGTGCGTGGTTCAAGACCTGGCAAGAATGTTCAACTTACAGAAAATGAGATTCGTGGTCTGTGTTTAAGATCCAGGGAAATTTTTCTCAGTCAGCCTATCCTCCTCGAGTTGGAGGCTCCCCTTAAAATTTGCGGTAAGTACTTGATTTTGGGCATTTTTTTCATCTTATCCCCCCCCCCCCAATCTAATTTGACAAGGAATAATAATTTTGACTAGTCTTCTGTGAAGCACACGATTTTGTGCATGTTTTTGTTAAATTGCAATCTCAAACAGGGACTTGTGGTTTGTTTGACCCCTGTGTTCATGGCCCATCTGTATCTGACATGCCTACACTGATCACATTCACACTTGCATCAAAATCATGTATTTCTGCTATTATTGAACAAAATCTTGTTGTGCATGGACAAATTCCATTCAAACTTTTGGATACACAATTGGATATTATCAGTGCAAAGACGACATTTTTTTTTTTAAAGTGTTCGACGATGACTTGATTTGAAAACTATTACTAGTAGCATAACAATTCTAATGCCCGTTAGTGTTTATTTTTGCTTTACGTTGGCGACACTTGCAAAGCTTGGTGAGATTTGAAACATAATAATCCCACTATGTGCATAGTTTTTAATCCGCTCTGGTGTTTATAGAATTTGTATCCTTCAAAAAGTATTAGGTAGAACAATGTTTTTACAATGAAAAATGGGTCAAGTACTTTTATCTTGTATTATGTACAATCAGTCAGTTTAATAGTTTGTTATGTATATTTTTGTTATGAATTTGTCAATTTATCTTGTTTCAGGTGATATTCATGGTCAGTACTATGATCTTCTCCGGCTGTTTGAATACGGTGGATTCCCACCAGAAGCTAACTACCTTTTCTTAGGTGACTATGTAGACAGAGGGAAACAGTCACTTGAAACAATTTGTTTACTACTTGCATATAAGATAAAATATCCAGAGAACTTCTTTCTCCTGCGAGGCAACCATGAATGTGCTAGTATCAATCGTATTTACGGTTTTTATGACGAATGTAAGTATATTCCTGAATTTTTGATCATGTATTTTTCATAACCTCTAAATCTTGAGTATTTCATAGGAGAAACAATTGTAAATGTTTTGACATAAAAATGGTTCCTGTCTGGCATGCTGTTTTTTCTCTTTTCAATTTCTTTTAAATATACTTTTTTATTTTTTCAGGTAAAAGACGATATAACATAAAACTTTGGAAAACATTCACAGATTGTTTCAATTGTTTACCTATAGCTGCCATTATTGACGAAAAGATCTTTTGTTGTCACGGAGGTAATTTGATTATTTTACAACATTTGCATTTATTCATCTTTATAGTTCCATTATTAGTTCGTTCGTTTTATGGGTATTCAATTGTAATCACAGGTAGCATAGTGGTTGTTTACACTGGTAGGTGACCAAGTTTGAACCCTAAAAAAAAGGGGTTGGTCAACTTGTAGCCAGAGCTGAATGTGCTTCAGACTTGATTGAGAGGCCAAAAGCCACTTGCCAACATCAACTCATTCGTATGGTTTGTGGGTGACGCCAGGATAGTGCATTTCAATTTGGTAAAGGTAGTTGTCCATCTTCCATCATGTGTAGTCACATAGATGTGGTCTCTATAGTAGTTTGCCTCTGTGTGTGTGTGATCATGCTCGTGTACATCTGATGCTGTATCTCGGACATACCTCTTCAAACCTTGTACATGTTCAACATTTTGTGATTTTGTTATTGGGTCAAGAGATGGCCTACTGGCAGACATTTCTTTAGTAAAAATACATAAAATCAGGTATTTTGACATGTCCAGAATCAGATCTTGGGCATGTGTTGGACGATTTACAATGACCTTGGAGGAAGAATTGACAATTATCAGCAGTCATTGCAAACTGCTTTAATTTTTAATCTCAAGATTGTCGTAGATTTTGCTAATTTATTTTAGACATGTACATGCTTTGAGCTATTAACTCTATACATAGCTAGTAACAGACTATTTTATAATCAGATATGTCCGATTTTCTTGGAAGGAGCAACCATTATTGAATGTTGGTGCTACATCACTTTGATTTGCAAAGTCTATTCAAGGTGGTTGACTTAATCTATAAGGTCACTCAAGTACTGCAGCATCATATGCCTTTTGCATACATGTGCAATTCTTGAAGCTGATAAAAAAATGTAACGTAAAAACGCTCATTATGCACAGGACTATGAGCTAAATTATACTTAAATGTATAACATTTTGAGATTGAACACAAAGAAAGTATGTGCTTTGATTACTTTGAGTCACAATGATTATGAATAAGAACTTTTATACTAATAATAGGTGAATTGCCAAATGCTTCTTTTCCTTGGGTCATAATATTGAACTCTATTCCCATTTTGTAGGCCTCTCTCCAGACTTGCAATCCATGGAGCAGATCCGAAGAATTATGCGTCCAACAGATGTACCAGACCAGGGACTTCTCTGCGATCTCTTGTGGTCAGATCCAGACAAAGAAACGATGGGATGGGGCGAGAATGACCGTGGTGTGTCGTTCACATTTGGAGCAGAAGTTGTTGCGAAATTTCTCCACAAACATGATTTAGATCTTATATGCAGAGCACATCAAGTGAGTACATTTTATTAATCAATACTATAAACCGTTTAACCTTTTTAGTCCCCGTTCAGACACAGTCCGAAAACGGGGACTTATGTTTTGCCCTGTGTGCGTCCGTGCGTCCGTGATCACCTGTATCTCGAACATGCATGGACCGATTAAGTTCAAACTTCACTCATACATCACACATTATATGGGACATATGCACATGCATTTTTTTCATGATCCGATTAACGATAGCCGAATAGCGGCCATTTTAAGGCCGAAAATGCATCAAAATTGCACATTTTCACCATTCCGGACCCGGATCTCAGTTATGCATGGACGGATTTTGTTCAAATTTGGTACATACATTAAACATAATAGGACCTTGATGCACGTCATTTTTTTTTTTCGGTTCAAGTTCGAAATAGCCGACTGGCGGCCATTTTGTTTTAAAGAATTCAGTTCTGGATCCGTATCTGAGACATGTCTGGATTGATCAAGTTCAACCTTCACACACACAAGGTACATCATGTCACAAATATGTATGTGCATTTGTTTCATGATCTCATTAACGATAGCCAAATAGGGGCCGCTTTAAGGCCGAAAATGCATTGAAATCGCACATTTTCACCATTCCGGACCCGTATCTCAGTTATGCATGGATGGATTTTGTTGAAATTTGGTACATACATTAAACATAATAGGACCTTGATGCACGTCTTTTTTTTTTTTCGGATCAAGTTCGAAATGGCCGACTGGCGGCCATTTTGTTAAAGAATTCAGTTCTGGATCCGTATCCAAGACATGTCTGGATTGATCAAGTTCAAACTTCACACACACATGGTACATCATGTCACAAATAGATATGTGCATTTGTTTCATGATCTGCTTAACAATAGCGGAATGATGGCCATTTTAAGGCCGAAAATGCATCAAAATCACGTATTTTCACAATTCCAGAACCGGATCTCAGTCATGCATGGATGGATTTTGTTCAGATTTAGCACAATGTGTTGTACATATGCAGGTGCATTTCGGTCATGATCTGCTTTGAATGTATATGTCACTCAAATATGAACGG